ACACACACACACACACACACACACACACACACACACACACACACACACACACAGAGGAACCTTTCCACTCACCTTTAAGTGTTCTTCAGTTTTTATTACAGACTAAAAATAAAAGCAGGTCTGCAGAGAAACTCTGACATTTACTGTGTAAATACTTCTACTGTAGTACTGTAATACTGACAGTACTACTATCTGTAGGCAGTACTGTTCGTTGTACTACAAACAGCAGGACTGCCTCAGTACAAACTGCTATCTAGTGTTAAACAGAATCATCAGTGGTGTCCATGGGTCCACTTTGTTTACTGGGTCTACTGGATCTACTGGGTCCACTGTGTCTACTGGGTCCACTGTGTCTACTGGGTTCATTGTGTCTACTGGGTACACTGTGTCTACTGGGTCCACTGTGTCTACTGGGTCCATTGTGTCTACTGGGTCCACTGTGTCTACTGGGTCCACTGTGTCTACTGGGTCCACTGTGTCTACTGGGTCCGCTGTGTTTACTGGGTCCACTGTGTCTACTGGGTCCACTGTGTTTACTGGGTCCACTGTGACTGCTGGGTCCACTGTGTCTACTGGGTCCATTGTGTCTACTGGGTCCACTGTGTCTACTGGGTCCACTGTGTCTACTGGGTCCATTGTGTCTACTGGGTCCACTGTGTCTACTGGGTCCACTTTGTTTACTGGGTCTACTGGGTCTACTGGGTCCATTGTGTCTACTGGGTCTACTGGGTCGACTGGGTCCACTTTGTTTACTGGGTCTACTGGGTCCATTGTGTCTACTGGGTCCACGGTGACTGCTGGGTCCACTGTGTTTACTGGGTCCACTGTGTTTACTGGGTCCACTGTGTCTACTGGGTCCATTGTGTCTACTGGGTCCACTGTGTCTACTGGGTCCACTGTGTCTACTGGGGTCCACTGTGTCTACTGGGTCCACTGTGTCTACTGGATCCACTGTGTCTACTGGGTCCACTGTGACTACTAGGCCCATTGTGTCTACTGGGTCCACTGTGTTTACTGGGTCCACTGTGTCTACTGGGTCCACTGTGTTTACTGGGTCCATTGTGTCTACTGGGTCCACTGTGTTTACTGGGTCCACTGTGCTTACTGGGTCCATTGTGTCTACTGGGTCCACTGTGTCTACTGGGTCCACTGTGTTTACTGGGTCCACTGTGTTTACTGGGTCCATTGTGTCTACTGGGTCCACTGTGTCTACTGGTTCCACTGTGTTTACTGGGTCCATTGTGTCTACTGGGTCCACTGTGTCCACTGTGTCTACTGGGTCCACTGTGTCTACTGGGTCCATTGTGTCTACTGGGTCCACTGGGTCTACTGGGCCCACTGTGTCTACTGGGTCCATTGTGTCTACTGGGTCCACTGGGTCTACTGGGCCCACTGTGTCTACTGGGTCCATTGTGTCTACTGGGTCCACTGGGTCTACTGGGCC